ACACACACACACACACACACACACACACACACACACACACACACACACACACACACACACACACACACACACACACACACACACACACACACACACACACACACACACACACACCGTACAGTCATGGATATGCTTACATATAGTACTGTAAAATCCATGTGATATGTTGCTCATAAGCCCTTGTATCAAAAGAATAGAAAATGGGAAGCTGCAGCTGCTCCAAATTTGACAGAATTACCATTAATATGTGAACATGACACTTCCAGGATGGGATTTGTAAATGTAAGGATGAGCAACTTTAACATCTATTACCTAAGTGAAAGCAGCTGCCAAAGGCTCACGATACCCATCATTTCCAATACTGATTGATTGATGGGTAGTAATCATTTCTTACCAGCTTCTTGCCACAGTAGATCTGCCATTTTTTCTCTGCTGGCAAAGAAAACATGGCGGCTCTGTTTTCAGCTGTGAGGTCCAGTTCATCCTGGGACAGGAGAAAGGAGAGATGGATGAATGATCAATGTTTGAATGCACATAGAGTAGAACACCCAGTGTTGGGAGCGTTGACTCACCACCAGCTCAGTGAATAGAGAGTCCAGCTCTGGAAGGGGGGGCATTGGCAGGGTGGGCTCCAGTACAGTAGCATTGTTGGGGTTGTCATGACAGTAGGTGATCTCTGGTTGTTCACTACCTTTAAAGCAGCAAGAAAATATAGAGGATATGCCACGTCCCTGGGGCTGCTTCATCCGGGACGCCATGGTTACAACTATTGAGTCAAAAACAAGACAATAAATATAAATCAATGTTATTGATCCTGGTGCATTTTGGAGCAACTTCTATTTTCATGAGGTTTGTCTTATGAGAAGCAACAGTAGACAGGGATTAATGAAAACACATGCTGTATTGGCGCCAAGGATGTGGAAGCTTGCAAGAATAAACCAGGGAAGATCCGGGGTGTTCGTGCATAAGAGGCCATACTTGCTTCATGTGCCACTGCGCGACGTTCCTGGGAATGAACGTTTTCTTAAAACAGCCTTGGTTTTTCCCGCCTGTCTTGATTGTCTGTCCTGGTCCAGTTTCACCTGTCCCCCATTTGCCCTGGAACCACCTGACCTCCTATTTGTTGTGAAGTCTTAGTCAGATTCTTGTTTGTCATACATCGAGAGGTTCTGCTCTGTTGGGTTCTGTTTTGCCTTGCCTCCTCTGGACCAAGCCTTTAAATAAAGACAGTTTCTGTTGAGAGTATCTGCTCCTGTCTTTTGAAAGATCTTTCACAGAAAGCGGAGCAAGGATCTAACTGCAGATCACAGATACTCTTTATTTAAAGGCTTTGTCCAGTCACAACATAACTTGGCGATCTACTACAAAAAGGACTCTGACTTAACAAAAACCAACAGGTGGAACTACACTGAACAAAAATATAAATGCAACACTTTTGTTTTTGCTCCCATTTTTCATGAGATGAACTCAAAGATCTCGGACACCCCTTTGAATGTCAAAAGAAATGTCGCCTAATGACCTATCTGGTAGATCTTCTTAAGTCGGCATTCCTTATGTTCATAAATTAATTGTACATACCGGAAAGTGTAGGGTATTTTGGGGATGTCCCGTCGTTAACTCAGATAATAAGCAATACCGTAGTGTTGTACCAAACCATTTGAACTAGTCTACGATTTTTCAAGTACCTTAGCTGATTGAATGACAATCATCGAAAACATCATTTATTCCCACGACCTTTTTCATTAAACCCGATACGACCAGCAGTCGCGCTAAGCACCACGAGCAAAGACAACGCTACAAACTTGATCACTAACCAAGATACCTCTACCCCCCACCTCGAATCTCCGACACCCCAACTGTTAAGGTGTAAACTGGCTGAGCACCCACGCCGATTCATTGGTAGGACTATATAAAAACTAACAACTACCCATCACATCAACACACCTACACGACACACACACAAGAAAGAAAGAAACGACGCTACCCCCAAGCGCGCGCGAGAAAAAGACGACCAGCGCGGCGACAGAAGACCCCCCGCACCTACACATACAGACACACCACACAACCCCCAACATCACACACCCACAACCCCCGCTCCTTCCCATACTCTCCCCTCGATTCTCGTACTAAACACTATACAGACCCCTAAACAACCTACCACTAAACCCACGAAAAAAGGTAAAACAGGATAGCACAGGCTTAGTTCACCCGCGTACCTTTACCCCGACAAACCCGGTCCACCAATTTGTTAACACTACATACGACCACAAAATCCAGTCAACAACACCACATACGAACCACACGTATACACCAAAAGGAGTCCACATCCAACAACAAACCCCCTCAAGCCTCTTCAAACCAATACACTATATACCCCCTCCAACGATACACTACAACACCTTATCCACTCCCAATACACCTGAATACTGATAATACCAACACTACATACACCCTACAAAACTGCCTCTAGACTCAAGATAATCCACCTTCCAATGTGTCCTAATACACGTCATCAATCACATACAAACCAAAACCCCAAATCACACTTACCTAAACACTCTATCACACTATCCACAGCATCACTCATAAAATACTAAACAAATACATCAAAATCAATAGCCTTCCAAGCTTTCACCCCCACTTATACTACAACGTTATACAAACATATCCCTCCACGTTAAATTCACCCCTTAACCACGTTAAACTCTCAAATACACACAATACACAAGTTAATACCCCATCAAACAACGTCTCCCCTTTCCCGCAAATACGATACAAAAGAAACAAACACCAAACAACAGGTATACAACCTCTCAAATACACTAAAGCCACAGAACATAACTAACATAGACTACCACCTCGGAACTTACACCCAATACCAAAATATAGAGAACACTACAGGAAATTCTGTTTAACAGAAGAAAACCGACATTCCATACTGTAAATTACAAAGCTAGAAATAGATGACACATATAGATGTAAGAACAAAGTTTGACCAATATCACCTCACTCGTAAAAAAGAGACTGTGTCAGCTCATCATGAGTACACTTTACAACCGACACAATCAAAAATAGCTTAAAGAATCTATTGACCATTATGTTTTGCAATTATAAAGAGGAAAACTAGGAATATCACACTTGCAAGGTTTCGTTTCGCCACTTTAGCACGGCGCGATGTGAATAACGGTGGCGTATGCCGTAGCCACATAACCTCCACTAAGTCCCGAAAAGCTAGAGTCAAAACCGAGCCGCGGAGACAACGGACCACCTCCACCACCAACACCAAAACCCGCGGCTCCACTTGCCGGGGTGTCGTCAGACCTACTAGGCCGGGACCATCCTCTCTGCCGGGAACCCACGGCCTTTCACTACCCTAATATTTTCCTGTCAAACCGTTTCGCACGACAAACACGAGATCAGAATTCTAAGATACAAACCACACAACCTCGAATCCCAACTCCCGCAGCAAAGCCTAAAACCCCCCCGGTAACTCCCTGAAGGCCCATTAAAATGAGGCAATCCTTCCCAAAAAGTTGACGTTGGGATGATTTGAGGACATACAGACAAGAAGACGACTAAGAGACTGCAGGCCGCGAAAAAAAAAACAGAAAATTGGAGAAAGGAAGCGAACAAGAGAAAAAGAACAGAAATGACGCCCCTGTCAAAATCGGTATTCATTTAGGTTTCAAGGGAAAAACACGAGGTTTTATCTTCATATTTATAAATTTTTCATAAGGACATAATGCAACTACGTTATTTCGATTACAACGACAGGTGTCGACTACAATTTAACAAGGTAATAATACTTCTTCTACCTGATGATATACCTCAGACAGGAATATCTGTCCGCCCGATTTTGCCGTGTTCTCAGGGAGAGCATATCGAGGAGTCGTTGGCCGACAAGAGGAATCGTCCTTTCAGACAATGCTTTATTCTATATGGAGACCTTGCAGTTGTCCAACTGGTTAATCTGTCTGGGCTGATAAATATGTTCGACACAGTCTTTAGTATTGACTACACCTCTTAGGTGAACTTTGGTGTGTAGTGACCACGTCACTAAGGAGTATTGAATTTTTTCCTTAAAGAACCAATGAAACATGGGTACGTCGTGAGGCGCAGATACCTGCTACGCTTCGATCCACAAACGCACTAAGGGTAGATGTACTTTGACAACAAGTGCACGAGGATGTATGGTTTTCACCGCAAGGATAGTTTTATTCTGATCGGAATAATTTACTGTCTGTGACCTATCTCCTCTGGTGAACCGGTGTGGAGTACTGAGTCAGCCCACTTTTGTTCAGAAGGCCAGTTAGTGTGGGTCCACTACCACACCACCAACAACACACCACTAGTACAACAAACACCACTGACCTATCTGCTATACAACACGGTTCACGTACAAAGGTTAAAATACACACTACAAAGGCTCAACTTTCATATGTTGTCGCCGTACTATTGAGACACCACTTTACGTACCTTATAACAATAGCACAAAAGATGTCAATGACTGTACAATCCGACTTCTTCCCTCACCATGGTTTGGTACTGGGGTCCAACAGGTTTGATGCCCGGGTCCCGGTTGACGCGGATAGACATACCAGGTAAAATTTTAACTGGGCAGTCGTTTTAAAACTTTCATATTACTTATGCGGGTGTGCACTTGAACACAAACAGAAAGTACGTGAGAATTTACATATAAATTTTATATAGGTGTCATAAAGTAACAACACAAATACAATTATTCGAGTGGAAAAGAAAATAGTACGTTCAGTAACTTTCAGAATCAATTTTTTTCGGGTGTATTAAATAAAAGTATTTTTCAACTTTATAAGGGGAAAGATAAAGAGGATTCAAGAGGTACCGGTGTACGTGTCGTTTGTTCAAACCAAACACGGACACTAATAGTGGGACAGGAAACACCCAGTATCCTTTCTAGGGTTGGGTTGTACGGTAGGTTACACCTCTACCTGTTTGCCAGGTGTGCAACAGGAGCAGTTGTCCAGAATTGGGCGATTGAGTAACCTAGAAGAGTCCAGATCAACATACTTTGAAACATCTTACTCGTAGGACATATGTAGATAACCATAATAGACATTCATACAGATACACGTACAATCATATCAACGAAGTACAAGACTCTTTATCTCCTGTGTAACCGTCGTAATGGTTATCAGGGAACACAACCGTATTTAATCTATAACTTGAACTTCATTCTTTTACAAAAGAGGTTGGACAGACAAAAATTAAAGACATCAACAAAAGTTCGGACAAAACTAACAAAGTGGATCGGAAATAATGTGGAGCTGTTTTTATATTTACGGGTTGTGAAGAACAAAAAGAAACGAGGGTAAAAAAGACTTCTACTTGAGTTCTAAGATTTTGTAAAAAGATATATGGGTTTATGGTAAAAGGGAAGTTTATAACGCAAGTGTTTAGACTTTTTTAGACACTATCACTCGTGAAGAGGAACGGGGGCTCTATTAGGGTAGGGCGGAGGTTTGTTCCACCACGTATAGTTACTTACGACTAATCTGTCGTACTCAATAACGTCCACAGCGGAAGTCCGGGGAGTCGGTGTTAGTTGTCCGGGTGAGACTCCGCACGTCAAAACGAAATAACACCCCCCAGAGCCCCCCCAGGCTTTTGGGATCCCAGATTGTGGGGATGGGATTTGGGATTGGGATTGTACAGGTGAGGTAAGACTGCGGTAGCAACCCCTACGGACCTAGCCGCATATGCTGTCGCACAAGTCAAATGACGGG